ATACCATGTGATACCCGAACTTCCAAACGAGACAGAAGATAAACTGAAAGATAGAGTAGTCAAGGGTGTATTTAATGACAAACTAAATGTACAGTGTCAATCCCTTGGTCATATTCATAGGCTAGGCAGGCAAGGTGACCAGCGACCCATAATTTTATATCTCCAGAATATCAATGAAAAGAAAAAAATACCGTAATTACTCGAATCTAACGCGCACCTTTTTTCCGGTTAAGCGAGTTCATAAATCGCATGCGCGTTAGAATCAAGTACGAAAAAAAAATGAATACGGTCATTCTATTGCCATCGGCATTTCCAAAATGGCCGCCCCCTACGTGCGTCAGCATGGCGTGTCGGCAATTTCTGCCTATGTTTTTCTCATGTGCGGCACTTCGTACGTGTGCTGAAGGGTTCGTCATCTTGTAGTGCATTAGCATCAACAGCATGGAAGGGCCGACTCCAAAAACTCGAGTGCACCACGGTGCCGCTTTTAAAAGAAAAGTCATCGCGTGTGCAGAAACGGACGGAAATCGGGCCGCATCGCGGTCGTTCGGAGTTCCCGAAACGTGCATGCGGGACTGGCAGGAAACAAAAGCAGAAGATTGTTGACAGCAAAGCTTCACGCAAAGGCTTCAGTGGAGCACAGCAGGGTCAGTTTTTGCAAATTAAAGAGCTGCTCGGCGAGTATGTGCTTATGCAGATGAGCGGCACAGCGGCCCTAGGCGATAGAACTGCTCCAAGTCCGGGCTATGCAATTAGCCTTAGAAAAAGGTCTAATGCGGAGCCAGTTTAAAGCGAGCAGGTGCTGGGCTAACTAAATTTATGAAGAGGAAAGGCTTTTCCCTCCGAAGGGGAGCGGGCATATGCGAAAAGTTTTGCGGAGGAGTACGATGAAAAGCCTCACACAGTTTTCAGAGGTTCGTCCTAAACTTGCGGCACAACAACGGCTACCTGCTTGGGCAAATCGGAAATGCCGATCAGACGCCTCTTTACTTCGACATGCCTGGCACCACAACCGTCGAGAAGAAGGGGGCGAAGCAAGTTCGCGTGCTGACATCGGTCTGCGGTAAAACTACAGTGACGGCAATGCTCCGTTACACGTCAGATGGGCACAAGCTTCGCCCGTACCTCATATTTAAATGGAAGACGCTCCCGAAAGGAGCCGTTTTTTCTAGTGGTGAGATCGTGCGGGCCAGCGAGAAAAATGAATGCGCGTTGCAATCGATGTCTTACGGTTTTTTTTTTTTTTTTTCCGTCGTGGAAATCGGGTGCCTGTTACAATCAAGGGCGCGGTAGAATCGAGTAAATACGGTACTTCAGAATGCTAAAAAATTGAAGGGAACTAACATTTTCATTCAAAACGACTATTCGCAATCCACATTAAAGAAGTGCAAACTTATGTGGAAAATTGCAAGAAATGATAAGCTTCAAAAGAAAATGTCACTTATACACAACAAACTCAAGGTAGACAAGCTTATCTATTTTTGGGACGAATCACAAAATAAACACGTACAGGCTTCGCAAGGCTCTCTCGGCAAACAGAAGCATGAAATAACGTATATAGGTGAAATAAGCATCTGCGAATAATTAATGTTAACGCTCGAAGTGTCTCAAATAAAACAACTTCGCTTGAGATAATGTTACTTCAACATGACCCTCATATTACAATTATTACTGAGACTTGGCATTGCGAGGGAATGGGCGACCAAGATGTGTATCCCCCTTGCTACAATGTTTATCGAGTAGATAGATCTTCTAGGGGAGGGGTGTGACAGTCCTAGTTAACGATCAGGTTGAAGCTGTTCTGGAAATAATACCCTCGTTGGAATGCCTGTGCATTAAGGTATCGCTTTGGGGCTATAGCTTTGTACGTTCGCAGTTTATAGGCCCCCTGACTGCCGCCCCTGAATATTTGCATGAATTATCCTGTATTATGAATAAATACTTGAGTAGCAAGGTTATTCTTGTAGGTGACTTTAATTTGCCTGGTATAGACTGGGTGTACCTTAACTCTGGGCTTCATTACAACTGAAATGTTAACATACTTTTTGATATCATGTTGACCTGCGATCTCGCGCAAGCTGTAGTTGAACCTATTTGCGTGCAAGGTTCTTCATCCGCTTTAGACCTGGTATTCTTTGCTCGCAAATTTGTTGGATTCACGGTGGTTGTCGAGCCCGGGCTATCAGATCACTATCTTGTTTATATTTCCTTGCTGCTTACTTCCTGTAGAAAAACCGATAAATCATGTGCCCATTCTGTCAAAGATTATTATCGCGCAAATGATGCATGTGTGATTCATTACTTAGAAAACTGCTTAACTGATTTTCATAAGAATAATGTGAACATACTTTGGACTCGCTTCAAAGATATGCATCATTTTTGTCTAAACAAATTCATACCAAATAAAAAAAACGAGTACACAAGCAAACACCATGGATCAATCGTAACATTATTCATATGAAGCGCAAAATTAAGCGATCAAAGGAGGCACATGAGCAGCCAAACTTGATATCGAAATTACAAAACGAGCTCGCACTTGCGTTGCATATTTCGAAGGACTATTACTTTACCTAGTCCCTGTCCAGTTTCATTAAAAATGATCCAAGTAAGTTTTGGAATTACATTGCCGAGAATAAAAAACCAATATCACAAATGGCAGTGAATGGACAGATGGTTACTGATAAGGCACAACTTGCAAATCACTTTAATAAGTTTTTTCACGGTGTTTTTTCTAATTCTAGTGATTGCTTTCCCAACTGTACAGTGCCGCAACTTTCTGATGCAAGTTTTGCATCGGAACCGGGTGTACTTGCTATGTTGCTAAACCTCAAACCCGAAAATTCTAGTGGACCTCACAATATCCCTAATTCATTTCTTCGTAGATATGCGGTAACTTCATCACAATTTCTTGTTATAATATTTCATACGTCACTGTTATTGTCAGAATTACCGAGTGACTGGAGGACAGCCCGCATTGCACCAATTCATATCAAGGAAGATCGTCTTCTCGTTCAAAATTACATCCTAATTCCCTAACCTTGTCATGCTGCAAACTTATTGAATATATAATCCCAAACAGCATAACTACATATTTAGAGATGCATTCTGTTTTAACTAAGTATCAGCATGGGTTTAGGAGGGGGAATTCGACTGTCACACAGCTGATCACTGTTGTTCATTCTTCTACATCAGCTCTTGACATAATTTTTCTAGACGTCCGAAAAGCTTTTGACACTGTCCCTCACGATAAATTAATTCTGAAGCTTGTAAACGCAGGAATCCCAGGATTGTTAATTTTTGGGTTGCTGCATATCTAACAAAGCGGCATCGATTCGTGGAAATTAACGGTGAAAGATCGGCCTCACTTGCAGTCACATCAGGTGTGCCGCAGGGCAGTGTCCTCGGCCCTCTCCTTTTTATTATATACATTAACGACATTGTTAAGACGGTTGAAGGTGGTGTCCAGATTCGATTATTTGCCAATGATTGTGTGCTTTTTAAAGACATTAATTCTACAAATGATCAAATTAGCTTATATAATAGTTTAAATAATATTCTTGAATGGTGCATGCACTGGGGAATGACACTAAACACAGACAAAAGCGTACTAATGCGAATGACACATAAGAAATCACCTTTGCTTCATACGCATAAATTAAGTTCATCCCCCCCGAATGAAGTAACCGAATACAAGTATCTAGGTGTCACCTTTAACAATGTGTTAACATGGAATGACCACATCAGTAAAACTTGCTCCTCAGCCGTCAGAAATTAATGCCTCCTGAGGCACAACTTAAAAAAGCACCTTCCGACGTAAAACTGCTATGCTATAACACCTTAATCACAACCAAACTAAAATATGCATGTATTGTTTGGGATCCGTACACAAAAACTAATATCAATAGCCTCGAGAGAGTGCAGCGAAGGCAGTTAGATTTATATTTACAAATTCTCAAGACAGGACTCACCCACAGAACTTATGAATGCTAACCGCATTGAACCACTCGATATGAGAAGACAGAAACACAGAATGAAATATCTCAAACTAGTTTACACGAACAATGCACCCCAAGACTCATCATTATATCTGTCGCCCCTATTAACCCAAACCACTCGTCACCATAGACAAGATGCATTAACACCCTACTTCGCGAGAACGAATACATTTAAAAATGCTTTTTTCCTTCGTACAATAACTGAATGGAATTGCGTGATCGAATCGACACCAAAATGCTAATTATTATTAATTTGTTTGTATAGTATTTTGCCAAACGTATTGACTATTTCTGTATTAGTGTTCCTGTTTCATTTATTTTTTGTTTTCAACATGTTCACTGTTATACCATTTTATTTGCCCTTTCTGCTAGGACTATGTCTTTGCAGTAATTGATAAATAAATAAAGAAATAAAAAACAGTCTGAAACAATCGTGAAGTTTCTAAGCAGTGCGGTATGACCTGCGACAAGAGGTGGCAACAGTTCCTTGGATGAAACTCAATCACATCAGAAATAAAGCAACAAGTTTTCTTGGAAATATACACATAATATGTGGCAGAAAGTGCAATTCTATTTCACCCAGGTGAGTTAGAAACCATTTCCACAGAAATGTGCAAGTTTGTTTAACAGCTAAAGAAGGTTGCTTCTAAGGTTCTTTTGCAACCAGAAAGGGCTCAAGTAATGACCGACAGGTAAAACTTATTTGCAAACTTCATGAAACGGTGCTAGAATCATTTACTCAGCGTGAATTTGTAAAGCTAAGAAGAAACATTATGAGGGTGGACAAGTCCTCAAGGACAAGCATACAGCAGCACAGATTTGAAAGAAAATTCACATAATGTTTGAGTTCAGATTAGGAGAAAATTTCTCATTGAGAATGCCATGTAATAACACTGAGCACATAACAGTACATGCATATAAATGAAGCAAGTATAAATATTAATTATATTGTGGTATGAAGTAAGCTAATCAAAGCTGACGAGCCTTTGCCCTGACTCGGTGTACCTTTTCCCTTCAGGAACAGCCTCTTCAGTTGCCTCAACAACTTTCTTATGCACTCCTCCTTGGGGCCCTGAGCTTGGCTTGTCTTTCCTCACTTGGCAAGCTCTTCTCGTTGGACAGCAGGCTCTCTGGCAGGGTTTCACCGTCCGATTCTTCACTTTGCGATGAAACTTCTTTCTCATTCCTGTTGATGCTCGTGTGTCCTGCGAAGTATCAAAAGTTTTCTATACTCATCATTGCTTGCTTGAAAGTTTTGGTAATTGGCTAGCACAAAAAATGTGCTTCTTAGTGCAATGCCACAACCCCGCAACGCTTGTTTGGAGTCAGAACACTGACCTTAAGAGAACACTTTGTTGGGTGAAACAACCTCTTTCTTGCCCCCATTTCCCACCCCCAGTGCTGCGTAGCAAACAGGATGCTAATATCTGGTTAACCTCCCGCCCTTCCTCTTCATCAATCTCTCCTTGTTGGGCCAGCTGGTAACATTCACAATTGATTTTATAAGGCACTAAAGAGCAAAACAATTTTTCTCGTATTAGCGAAGTACAATTTCATAATCGTGAAAACACCACTCTCTTCACAGCACGACACTTAGTAAGCGAGAAACGTGCAAGAAGAAAGTGCGAGTGGCGACACCTCCTTGAGATTCCCACACTAAACACAGTGACGTCAAAAATTTTGAAGGCACCTACTAGGTCCGATTGTATCCCGGGGAATGCTCACTTCAAACATTTAGAAGTCATTGACGCTTTGGTAAACAGAGCAGCACGAACTACTATAATTTCACATTCCCTCCTCAAGTTTTGATATCACCCAGTTTTACTGTCAGTGATTCTCACAGCAAACCGTGCCTGCAATGTTGAAGAAGTTTCAGGACTGCAGTTAAGATTTTGTCAAGATTATGCCCCCTACGCGTACATTACAGGCAGGGTTCGCGCTGAGCAGCATAGCGTCGAGTAGTCGTGGCTGGGCTCCTTCTGTACGTGATGTTCACATAAAACACAGCCGTCCAAGAAACGAAGCAGATGACGCTCTACAGGCTGTTGTATAGAAGGAGCCCGGCCATGACGCTCGATGCCATGTTACCCAACATTAGCGACGAATAAAACATTGATGTGACTGTCTACTTCTTGAGCACCGAAAAAGCTCGACAACTCGCCCGCCTCCACATAAACCAACAGACCACCGACAGCCACCGTTACAATTTTCAAAGAAGTTTCGTGGAATACCAGCTTGGTGACAGTGTATGGGTGTGGACGCTGATACACCGTGGGCTCATTGAAAAACTTCTGCGATGCTACTTTTGACTGTACATGGTAGTTCGACGTCTCCGTACACTCGACTACGAGGTTGTTCTCGACGGCGTTACGAACTCTCAACGATGCCGTGTACAACCTGAAATATTCCATGTCGTGCACCTCAAGCCATTTCAAGCGCAAATCTTAGGACTGTATTTCATTGTTGCTGTGCTTTATTGTTTGTACTTATTGTTTATTTTCTTACTTCATTATTATACTCTCGTCTTTTCTTAAAGCATCCAGACAATGCCTTTTTCAGACGGCGCAAAGCCACATTCCTTTCTCAAGATTTCTTATTACACCATTACATTGTATGTAATTCTCAGCGCAAACTGCGCTTGCAGTGTTCGAGAAGCTTCAGAACTGCAGTAGATCATTATTTTTTAAATTACGCCCCCTTCGCGAACATTACAGATTATTCTAAAACCTACCTCGCTGCTAACGATAACGCCAGATCATTCTCTGCACGTATATAAATGCCAACGCGCCTCACCACTTGTCAGTTGATCGACGGCCAACACTCCGTTCGCTGCTATTAGTGCCAGTGTGTATCACTGTATTTTAATTATTCGTTGACAGGCCAAATTTCAGCTGAATAAACAGTTTAATCTTGGACAAACAGTGTACTCCCTTCGTCGATGTGACAATATGAGCTTGGTGCCCATGCAGTGCACTTCCTTAGGTTTCGTAGTAGTGAAGCTGCATGTCTTTTTTTTTTTTTTCCCGAGCCAGTTCTCAGTTACAGAATCCTGCTACAGTGATTCCTTAGAATCCCAGTTTTAAGAGTCTTAATATACGTACACGATTTCTCAGTACTATTACAGTGCAGTGCCTCAGGCTTACATTACGAGTCATCACAAATTGCCTTACAATTGGAGAACGTCTTTCCCCCATGTCATTACATAGGTGGATTTCCGTCTGGTTCAGTAAAAATAGTAAATACATGTGTCATTATTATCACCATCATTACCAGACTGTATGCCCACTGCAGGACAAAGGCCTCTCCCATGTTTTGCCAATCAACTCGGTCCTGTGCTTGGTGCTGGCACTTTATACCCACAAACTTTCTAATCTCATCCGCCCACCTAACTTTATGTCTCCCTTTCATCTGCTTGCATTCTTTTCATTACAGTCTGTTATCTTTAATGACCAGCCATTATCTTTCCTTCGCAGTAAGTGCCTCGCCCATGACCATTTCTTCTTGATTTCGACTACAATCTCCTTACCACCGGTTTGTTCCCTGACACACTCTGTTCTTTTCTTGTCCCATAGGGTTACACCTATCATTTTCCTTTCCATTGATAGCTGCATCATCCTCAGCTTGAGTTGAACCCTCTTTGTAATCCTCCAAGTTTTTGCTTCGGAGGTAAGTATCGGCAAGACAGCTGTTATATACCTTCCTCTTTAGAGACAGTGACAATATACTAGTCATGATTTAAGAATGCTTACCAAATGTGCTCCACCCCATTTTTATTCTAGTTACTTCAGTCTTGTGGTTCGGCTCCATGGTTACCACCTGTCCTAAGTAGACGTACATATGTATTCAATAACAAATTGCATCAGTAGCACAGGTCTGTACTCTTAGAGGCTCTCCCGCCGCCATCTCGAACTTTGGTCAGGCACCGAGCAAAGGTCCCCTTTCCATTCCAGTGCAAATACATTTCACCATAGGGAAGTGGGGGAGGAGAAACTTGCTTGGATTTCACGGCCGGAATTTTCACGATCTGTGGATGCCCCATCCGAATATACCACAACAAACAGCAAAATGGGGTGCTCACTATTACCACGACCCCAGCATTTCAATGCAGAAATTGGTGTGCTATTATTTTCAAGCCTGTCAGAGTTACTGGTGGCATTTTTTTTACGGACTAAGCGACTTCTGCAACAAAGACAATAGTGTACCATGTACTCTATATGTTGACAGTATCCAGGGCTGTACTAAGGAAATTTTTCGAAGGGTGTTAATGAGTAAAATGACCAATTTCAGTAACTGGTAAAGTGTGAAGGCACGTAAATGCTTAAGTATCACACAAAAAGTTAAAGCATGAAAAAATTTTAGCCGTTGTCAAACCCACTCAATTTCCCACTAGTTATGGCTCTGATAGTATTGCTTAAATAATTACACCACCTGTGTGGATTGTCATAAAATAAGGCAGTAATTAAAATTGGCATAAAATTTGACACCGTAATTCCTTTCACACTACTTTCAATACAGGCAAATGTAAATCACACATCACACTTTAAACTAATACATCATTTTCAAGCAATCTCAGAACGCCCCACAGGCGCGTAGAGCCCTATGGGAAAAGTGTGTACGCCGAGCGAAGCGGCAGCTGTCGCGGTGCACATGCTGCTTGGTGGAACCAGCGTGAGCACGAAACGAAAAAAAAAAAAAAAATGTGTCGCCACTTGTTGGGTATTAAAAAATCCTGAACATTAGATATGTCCAAGCGCACCTGCATGTATCTCTGCACATGAAATGTAAAAGGAATAATGCAGCCCGTGTGGGTATCACAGGGCGGATGAACTGGGCGGCAAGTGGTTGCTTACTACAATATTGTGCACTGATACATGTAGTCAAAACGTGCCATCGTGGAGTTTGAAGTGGAACACTAATTCATATTTATTCAAACATTTACTGTTCACGAGGTGCTATGAATACCTTTGTGGAGTGATTGGTTTATTAATTGCAAACTGGGAGAAGTTCTACAGAATGATTTGATTTTTATTGACAATTTATGCACGGTAAAAAAACAGTGAGCCCATTCTAAACGTGTTTAAGGACAAAAGAATTGAACTAGAATCCGCTTGCGAGGTACCTTGCTAGGATAATTTGCGGTTTCATAATATTTGCTTTGTCACTATGGAGCATGTTTACTGGCTATATAGTATTGCACATTCACTGAAACTGGTGTTGAACTTCATGTTGGCGCATTTCAATATAGTTCAAAAAGAAATTATGATGTCATGCTTACGCTCAGCATTAACGAAAAAGTTTCAAAAGTTCAGCAGATCCCACGTACCTGGAAATCGACGTTATGCGAAGCATGCGGACGAATGGTGACTGTGTTGCAATTTTTTTTTATGGAGCGACACGTCATGAAATGACGCTAAATATATGTACAAGTGTTGCACGCACAGACATATGTTCAAGAGTTGCTGATGTTTATATAACCAGTTGTTTGCACTTGCACAACGATGCCAACTGGAACATGCATAATAGCAACACCGGAAGCTGATATGGAGCGCTTATGCTCGCGAAGATGCTGGCTCTGGACAGCTTAATTCACACTCCGGCTACATAAATCAACATCAGCGGCAGGCACCCAACCAAAATTTACGTTAACCTGACGTGATGGCCGTATCAAAGGAGTGCATATGTAATGTTTAGAAAATTGGGTAGGCACCACTGCAACCACTATTGACGCTTCACAAAGATTAGCGTTTATTTGAACAGTATTTCCGAGACCTTTCGTAGATCTGTGGTAGAATGCTTGAATACCCCGCAAGATGCTTGGGTTCGATTCTTGCTGGGAAGAGGAGGAGGAATAAACTTGATTATAAGAAACCAGCAGATTTAGGTGGCCGGGCCTAAGCCTCTAATGAGGGGACGTCCGCACATGCTGTGGGATTGCCCAGCACGGTACAGATGCACTAACCCCACGACCCTTTCGTCGAAGCTCCATGAAGCTCTGCGGAGCCCCGCTCTTTATGACCAAAGCTGGGGGACCCAGCACGCCCGTGCGGCAGCGTCTTGCTGGGACCCTGAAATTTATTATTTGCATTCGTCAGGGGGTCAACGCTGCCTATGTCAAGTTTTTCTTAACACTGAGATTTATTCTATGCCTTCGTTGGGTCGACGCTATTGATGTCGGGTATTCCTCAACACTCACGTGTTAAAATTG